CCCCTGCCTCCCTATCCATGCTACTCGAGGCGTTATGTTCCACATAATATTTCTGGGAGACTAACATGAGGCTAAAGACTCCGAGTAATTCTCATGATCAAACATTTGCCTCATGGACCACGTCTATGATTAAACACCTCTACTGTTATGTTGAAGTACCTTTAATTTCGTTTGAACAGGCGAGTGGAAGGGATTCGTAAGTTGGTTTAACCGGAGGCTGTGGGGAAGTTGTAGATTTGTGCGAACAGATCCTCTTCGAAACCCAGTTTTTCTACATGCCTCTACTGTTAGCCAGCTAGCTCTAGTCTCTACAGCATCTATCGTTCTTCCATATGCAATGCCAAGTCTCTGGCTTTATATGATTTAGTCTCTTGTGTGTTAACTCACAAACATTGCGGTTCTACATTCAACCTAATCAAAACAAGAAGAACCACAACATTTGTGAGTAGGCATACAAGAGATTAGAGCATAGGAAGTCATAACTTGTTATTATAGATAGAAGTACTATAGATGCGGCGGAGACTAGAGCTAGTTGGCTAATCGTAGAGGTGTTTGATCATAGACGTGGTTCATAAAGAAAAGGCTTTACCATGAGAATTAGTCCGGGTCTTAAGCCTCATGTTAGTCTCCCAGAGACAGGATATGGAACATGGCGCCTCGAGTAGCACGGATAGGGTGGCACGGGTCGAATTAAATACTTAAACCAGCAGACGGATCCTGCGGGACAAGAGGGAGACTCTAATAAGACCAATGGGAAGAGAACTGCGAAACAATATGGCAGACTCTGATCCAGATTCCTAGCACAAGGGTGAAGGCGTGTGATGAGTTGATAAAGCCTATTTGGAGTTTGGAGAGTTCTCATGAAATCCGCTTAAAAGGGTAAACCATATTTAAATAGGCAAAAAATGTGATAGGGAAGAGGTAATACGAGGATATAGGATTGGTGAATAGTCCGACTCTAGGATGTATCATGCATGCTATGGACTCCGGACTGGATGAGTTCCTCTAGGTCCTCCTATCAATATGACCAAGTTGCTAAAACAAGATCAAACAATTTCCAAACAATTCTATTTTGGTAGTTTTTTTAAAATTTACACAAGAATATATATGTATATGTATGTAAAGTAGAGATTAATTGTATTCTTAACTCGAATCTTTTGCTTTGAAAATGTCTGTCATATGACAGACAAAAGCTCTTTGCGTTTTCTATCGTTTTAATTAAGGATTTCTAATTGACTGCGCCAACCAAAAGTTGCAGAAAGGCCAAAAACAACAAAGAATTACAGGAATTAGACCTACATATCTCTTCATCTTGCACTTTCATACGAAATATGCGTAAATTCACCTGAAATATGGAATGACATGGAACTCTTTAGAATAAGCCAATGGATTAAGTCAGGAGGTCAACAGTGTAAACGATATGTGAAGATCGACAGTTGATAAGATAGATGAGGGAGGATTCTGTTTGAAAAGACGATGCGGGTTCTGTACTCAGGCCAAAAAGAGAGAAAACGAAATCCGCAACAATAGAGAAACAAGCAAGCAGTTTTTATAATAGAATATGCTTATGGAATGGAATACAATAAGGTGCAACGCATACAATTAAAATTGGCAGGCAGAGCTTGAACAGAAGAGAATGGGAAAAAGAGCAAATTTAACAGATACGATAATGCCGTACAGCATATACGTATAACACAAATTCAATTAATGCGAATACTAGCTATCGGATTTTGTCAAACAACTGTATATTCTTGATGAATTTAGCTGACATTCATTAAGACAAAAAAACCACTAGTAAATTAAATGAACGCAAAATTTCCCAGCTCACTACTTCAAAAACGAGGATTTATTATCCTATAAAGCAATGATCAAGGTGCTTACCTGTAGTCAAGACTATGGCGTTAGCAAAAATTTTAGGATATACTCAAATATACAGATACAAAAAATGTAGTTGGTGAAGCTTTAGCATGAGCTCAGCTATCCATATAAATTATTCTTCGGGCATATATCACTCGTAGCTATGAGGCAATAGTAGTGTGTCTCCACTGTAAGCGCATATCCTTGATTGATTCCCATTGCTAATGTTAAAGATATTTCATTTGTTAAATATAAAAAAACAATAAGAAATTTCAGTAGTAATGAAAAAAATAATATTAAATACTGTCGGATGGCCTAGATGTGATCATTTTAATTAAGTAACGATACATCTAAATCACATCATATTTAAAAAGGAAGGAACAGATAAAAGCCACTGAGACATAACAAAAGGAGGATCGCTCACCTGGTGTGCTGGAAAAGCCTGTGGTGCAAGGCTGAGCAAGCATGGAGACTTATGCCTCAAGGCAAGTACAAGATCGCGATTAGATAGGGATAGAGATAGGAAGGCAATAACGAGCCTGCTGACCATCCAAAGCAAGTCGGCGGCCAGTTGGCTGCTGCCGCAACCGCGAGCACAGACAAGCCAAGCAAGACAGAGAATGGCGCCAAATAGCCTGGATAATTTAGGATAACAGGGGTAAATTCACGATAACAAGATAAGTGGAGGGAACCAAATATACAGGAAAAGTATGAAAAAACCTGAGAAGACAAGTATGATAAATAGATTAACAAGCAAACATGCGAAAATTTGATAACAGTTTGACACAAAGATTAGTAGATGGCTCATGCTTATAATCAAATCAAGGTTTGAGGGACTTAACAAGAGAAGAACTGGTATTAATAGTTTCGAGGTCTATCGCAACAACAGTACTTAATATACTGTATTAGCATGTCCCTAGAGTATACAATAGCATGTAAATCCACGAATATGAGATTACTTCCTTCCTAAAAGCCTAGTCCCTGCGTAAAAAATGTCGATATCAAAATCCGATATAGTGGACAAATCGAATTATCTCAATATAAATAAGTTGGTGGCATCTAAATGTCAAAAGGCATGGATGCGAATGTAGACCAGGGAGAATGGTTAGGTATGGAATTCTACATAGTCGGTAATATAAAAAATTAACCTATGATTATTTAGCATAGGTCTGAAAGGCGTAAAATGTTATACGAGCTTAGTATAGCCAAGATCATTCATAATAGTAAATCAGAAAGAATCTATTAATCAAAGTATTATAGATGCCTAAACATAGTGAAGTATGTGGATGTAATCTTTCCATTACACCAGAAAAACAGCAATGATAGTAGGTCAAGAGCTCTGAAAACGGCATCTGGTACCGGTGGTGGAGATTATCACGCTTCATTAAACCCACTTATAGCGATAAACTCTTAGGCGACGTGGGAGAAGACTAGAGCACAGAATTGTGTGAATAAGTTGATGGATCATATGAAGTGGAATTCAGAGAAAGAGATGTAGCACTGGTCAATTGTAACTCTGTCCTTACGATGACGCCCCTCACTGACGATGCCGGAGAAACGTTTGGGAATGTACTCAGTCAATGGACCAATGCTGAAAATCACGAATACTATAGTAGAGGACACTAGACTAGGTACATTCCACAAGGTCTCCTTGACGCTCCAACCAAGGTGGAACCAATACTAAAAATATATTTTTTCATGAGTAATTCAGAGCTACTCCAACCCACGAAAGCAA